ATAGATAGATAGATAGATAGATAGATAGATAGATAGATAGATAGATAGATAGATAGATAGATAGATAGATAGATAGATAGATCTATATCTGTAAAAAAAAAAAAAAAAAGGTGTAAGAGATTATAAGAGCTATATGACCCAACAAACTTTTTCTTGCATAGTCCTGGCAATAAGTTAAATCTACTTTCACCCCTGCTTACAACCTTACTATACCACAATGGTGCACAACTTCAAACATTTAAAAAATGTCTGGCAATGCATAGACAGCATCTGACTGAATGCAGTGCACAATAATTTGGTATAGTCTTCTAACTTGAAGAAATTCTATATCACTACAAGCCATTTAGCATTTTACAATTTGTTAAAACTAATTATATCTTACCATATATACATTTATACTGATTACAATTTATTAATCGTAATATAGGGAAATATAATCAGTGAATAAAAACTCTTTTTTAATCAATAAAAACACTCAACAGTCATGCCAAACTCTAAAGAGCTTTGAAAACAGTTTTCCTGAGCAACAGAGGGAGAAAAAAACAGGAAACAGTGGAGACCTTCCCAGAACTGGCCAGATTCTTAAATTAAGATGTTCAAAACTCATCCTGAAAGTCATAATAAGATGAGATCGATCTCTTAGGGATGCTTATTTGCCTCAGTTAATATCAGTGCTCATGATTCAACAATGTCAGAAACATCAGGAAGTCTACCTCTGAGTGCTTTACCAACAGACTGGATCAGACAGGGAAGCTCCGGTTTGACCTTAAACAGTCAGTGGATACTAGACAGCCCTCCAGTTTGGCTGAATTAAAACAATTATTTTACAGTAGGGTGAATCAAATTATTCTTAGGTTTATTAAAATCTAAAAACAAAATTACTTTTAGATTTACTCTTGTTATCTTTGATATTAACATGTTCTATGATGATAAGGGGCATTTGAGTAAAAGTCAATTTAAAGAGCACTTTAGACTTATTAATGTCCCGTTTACAAAGAAATGCTGCATTAAGTTCTGATAAGGATATCAGTCTATTAAACAAATGAAGTCAAAGAATACAAAGAATGATTTTAAACAGCAACATCAACAGAACACTAAAAAGCGCAGATATTAAAAAGTAAAACTATGTAAGTTTAACAAATAAGTCAAATGTGACATCCTCCAACAATTGCAAATCTTAAGAAAAAAGCAGACATTTACAGAGTAATTTGTAATCATACAATGACAAATTAGCCTGTGCCATCATCATCATTACACTGAAAGTAGTATTCTGCTACATGTGTACAGTATGGACCCACACAGCTTCGTCTAAAGGGAGAGCAGCTACTGCTTTTCAGACAGTGAGGACAGGCTAATGAAATTTCTCCAGCTGAGGAAATTAGTTTTCCCCTCAAGACTCATTGTGGAGGAAGACAGGAAGTACAACAGATGTGATTGCCTCTGTCAGGCTGTTATTTAGTTTCACTGTGTTACATCACTTTGACGCCGCTCTCTCCAAGGTATGAGACGCATTAAAACTTCTTCCAAAATAAATCTCTCTATATTTTGAGGAAAATGGTTAACATTAGCAGCAGCGACATCATTTCCCACATGTTCATTCATCCTGGTCACATTCAGTAAAGTAAAGTAGGTGATATTGACCACTCAGATAAAACCCCCTTTCACATTTCACCCTCTATTGCAATTTTTACATATTTGTAGAGAAAGAAAATCCTCTGTCAAAAAAAAAAAATTAAACAATTTCATTTTTTGAAGGTGTAGAGAAATTGGAGTTTGTCCATTTTTTGTCATCTTAATTTCATGGTAAGCACTATCCAGTGTGGCCAAATTTAACACAAAAGTAACATCTCTTCTAAGGATGTTCGATCAATCTCAGTTTAAGTCAGTGAAAAATAATAGAAGTCTACTAAAATGTGTTTGAATATGCTTGAGTACCAACATTATAATGCTTATATGGATTAAGCTGAAAGACATACAGAGAAGCTTGCTGTTGAACCACGTAGCCATATAAGACATATTTACAAGGAGTCAGTTTTGTTTTCAGCTACTGAATGCACCATTGCAATGTACAAACAGATCACAGCAAGAGCCGTGACAAAAAAAACTTTGTTTGGTGCTTCTAAATACTATAAAAATGTCTTATTTTAGCTTTTTATTTGTTGATTTTGTTTGATTTTTACAAAATGAAAACTAAGAAAGGTAAAATTAAGAATTAAATTCAAATACAAATCACTTTATTAACAGGAAACACTAACTAACCTAAAGCAAATAAATGGGTTAAAAGAAAAAATAAGATATGAAACAAAATAAAATACTTAGAATTATAATAAAATACAATTTATTAGTAAGAATACACAAGAAACACAAAAAACAAAACATCTGCTTTAAAACAATATAATTATTCAAAGCATTATGACATTCAGGTTAATATTCAAAATATTTCTACAGATGAAGTTTGCTACATTCCAAAATGCACCAATTAAAATTATCCCACTGCCCCAATAAAGCGCTTATATACAGAAAGGTGGTCCTCTAGGAATGGAAACCTAAAGAGGTACCTGTGACACACAGCAACAGCCAGGCTGTGATCGATTGTCACATCCAGGTTACGCATTAAACAGACACATCATATTCAGCCGGGCGAGGACACTAATGATAACTGACAACCTAAATCACCAACCTATTAATTCAATATACAAAATCACAGCATGTTTCCAACACCAGGGGACTACGTGGTGCGACAGCATAATGAATCCTCTGGCACCCCTTCGGGAACCAGCAGAATGGTCTGTTCCAGCTCTCCCCAGGCTGTGCGGAGCGGCTCACTAATGAGCCCACGGGGGAGCCCCCACTGTCTGTGTGTTTAATAGACTGTAGCCTTGCCAGACACTACACAGGGAAGGGGTGGAAGTGGCAGCGGGGATGGGGATGGTTTGGGGGGGGTGTTGCACCAGGACAGAGAGAAGGAGCAAGAGAGATATTCTTACAAGTGGTGAGAAACGAGCGGCTCAAGTGAGAAATTTCATCATTATAATTCAGAGAGAAAAAAACATGAAGCAGGGAAAAAGGAGAAGGTGATGAAGTTAGTCTGGATAAGATGACCATGAAAATCTGTTTAATTTGACAGGCACATCTATTACACTTGGTGTCAGGGTTAAGAATAATATCCCTAAATTAAACAGATCAGCTTTGTTAAATTATGCAAAAGTTTGGGTGAAACTTTTTAAAAACAATTGTTTCTTATATTTTTGATTTTAAAAATTTGTATATTTGTTTAATTTTCTTATAAAACCTGTAATGAAAGCAACAACGTATTACACTATCAAATAAAAAAAATTAACATGAAATACTGAGACTAAAAATGAGTTTATTAATACTAATACATGAGGAGGCGGAGCTCAGCAAGTTATAAAATACCGGAAAAAAGGCACACAAGTGTTATAGACGGTAAGTATATAACACAGTGGGGCTTTAAAATTGTTCTCATAAAATCAGAAATAAAGTTAAATAATTTTACATTAATATTGGCAAGAGAAATTTCTTAGTGAGGCTGTTTATATTTCAATACACAGCACTTGTTAAAGTTAATAAAACTCACGCCTTTCTATGCTGTTTTCACATTAGGTTATGTTGCAACCAGGGAAGACATTTTTATTGCCAGTTCTTATTTGTGAAATGCTTCAAGGTTAATCCCATTTTGGACAGCATCAATAAATCTAAATTTTAATCTTGCCCCAAATTCTTAAGTGGTTTAGAAGTGAGCATTGATCGTGCCACCCAAACACAGCAACATTCTGCAAGCTCCAAGGTGAAAACCACGCTGGAAGCTGAACTTCTACGTTTCTTAAAGATTTGCTTTATCTCAGATCTGTTGTTTAAATTAATTCATGATCCCACCCAACCAGTGTCCCTGAAGTTTCGGAAGAAAACAATATCCAAAGCATTATGCTGCCACCTCCATGTTTCACTGTGGAAGATGATGTATATAGTTCTAGCAGTGCAATTTCTCCGCTACGCAGATTGCTGCACATAAGCTGTAAAGTTAAGTTAAAGTTAAAGTAAACAGTGGTGTAATCAAGGACAATGATGATCTAGAAACAGGACTTCTGCCTGTCAACAATAGTTTCTTCTTGTCATTCTTCCATCAGTTTAATATGACAGCCATGTCATG